GGTCTCGTTCTTGTCGCTCCTGTTCCCTTTTGTTCCGTTGTATTCGCTCTTGTTCTTGTCGTTTCTGTTCCCTTTTCTCTCGTTTTATCCGGTCTCGTTCTTGGCGTTCTTTTTCCTGTTTTTCTCTTTGCTCTCTTTCTAGTTGTTCATTTGACCTGATCATTGTGCTAAATAAAAAAGAGTACAACTTAAAGATTCAAATCTCCTCTCTTCAAATTTATAACTGAGTTTTAGTTTTCGCCCACCGCTTCGGCTCCAAAGCCGGCGTTTGGACATGTCTGGCTTACAGCATGTTGTAGAAGTGGAAGGAATGCGCACAAAGCAGCAAGTAAATGCCTGCTACTGTTGTGCGCATCCCCTCCATCGCTGCAGCATGCTGTAAGCGTCTCAACACTGTAAACACTGTATAGATATCCCTAACAAATACGTTATTTTAAGCTTTTTCCAAAATCTTAAGTGTGTCTGATATTCATATCAAAAGGTTAAAACTATCGGAACGTATTTATCTCTTTCCAACTTTATTTTTATCTCAAAAAAAGAAGAGTCTAAGAGATAAACAAGTAGTGTCTAAACAGCTTATCATTTCTAACTTATTTCTAATGTAAAACAAAAAAGATATAATAATCTACAGCATTATAGTAACTAATCAAATTACTTAAAACTTGTAAGAAATTTAGATTTAGATACATTAAGCAAGTATGTTGTTGAAAAATTAGTTATCGTAAATCAGTTACAATATCGGAGAGATCATCATTAGTAGATCTGTATTGTCATTTGGCTTATACGAAAAGAAATCGACGTATGCAAACAAGCGAATAGCGTCGGAATTTCATGTGCTCGGATGTGTCGCGTCACATACGTGCTTCCGTAGCAGCGGAAGCTGAGCTTCGACGCAGGCGACGAAGCCGGCGTCGTTTCGGTCTTTCCTTCTCTCCCCCAATGACTCTGGGGATTTAAATTTTATGAAGGTGCACGAGAGTACTTTCCTTTAGTTTGACCCGCGTACTTCGAAGATAACTAGTGAAAGAATACAAAAAAAAAAAAAAAAAAGAGAAGAGATTTTTTACTATAAAAGTTCAGCTTATTAATTCTGCACACTAATTCTCTCCGATATTCCAATGGGGATGTTATTAAAACTTAAAATAATAAATTCTTCTTCTTCCTTCGTGTTACAGAATCTTCGCTCGAAATAAATTTGTTTTATTTTGTTCGAGATTTTATGCGCGCGAATTTTCTTACGCAAGTGAACAACATCGCGACGATGAAAGTGATATATTTAATAGTCGTTAAAATATTTATTATTGTTTGAAGTTAGATCTCTCGCGAGAGATCTCTTGCGAGAGGGAATTAATCAGCGTCTGATAACAATAACATTTGTTGAAGGCACAGCTCTATGAAACCGACCGACTGTTCCTTTGATATTTGTTAGTATGTCACGCGTAATATCCGACAGACGGCCGATGATGGATTTGACGCTCTCGCAGATTGCCGTATCGCGCCGGACAATGTCCGTGTATTTTTTATATGACGAAAAAACATTGCAATGCGCCGCGTCCCGTTGACCGATACGGTAAAATTGCACGCGTTGTTGGCAGCTGTCGCCATCGGCCAGCCAACCCGCCGTCCTGATGTTTTTGACGCGACGATTTGGCTGATTCGTCCCGGCATGATAGTCGCCGATTGATTATTTATCGATTCGTGAGCATCAATTCGTACGAGAATATTTGGCACGTTTATCCGTTCAAGTTGAAAATCCGATGCGCCCGCATGCTTGCTAGAGCACGCGCGCGTTTCAGTTGTCGACGGTGATTTCTCGATGCACTGACGTTTAAACAGTTCATCGTTACGGGCAAAAGGAAATCATCATAAATCCCGCGAAAAAGCGGCAGCT